CCCCCAGCTGGGGTGCCCCTGCGGGCGCTGGCGGCTCTCCCCCAGCAGAGCCGGGCTGCGGGCACAGGCCACAGATGTCTCCCCGGGGCCGAGCAGAAGGCCGCCAGGCAGGAGCTGCAGGAGCATGGCCCCCTCCTGGCGTGCGCACCCGCCGCAGGGAGATGCCTGCTGTCATTTAGCTCACCCAGCAGGAAGGGAGGAAAGGCTGGGAAGCGGCATGTGCTGCTGTGGCGAGGGGATGCTGACTCAGGGAGGGGCAGGAGAAGCACAGCCCCATCTTCCTGGGCAGGAGGGAGTGCCGCCTCTGCACATTGGCCCAGCGGGTGCTGAGCAATGGCAGGGCACCTATAAAAGCTCTGCCTCTGCCGGGCTCTCCCATCCACTGCTCTGGACACCTTCTCCTTGGGGAAGAGGGTAAGTCTGAGAGCGCTTCTCCCCCGGGTCTCCTGCTCTGGCCCCGGCTCCTCCACCCCGGGCTCTCTGCTCTGACGCTCTCCTGCATTCTCTGCCCTCTTCCACAGCACCATCCCAGACCGCACCAAGATGTCTTGCTACGACCTGTGCCCACCAAAGACCAGCGTGGCCGTCCCGCAGCCCATCGCCGAGAGCTGCAACGAGCTGTGCGCCCGCCAGTGCCCCGACTCCACGGCCTTCATCCAGCCGCCCCCCGTGGTGGTCACCTTCCCCGGCCCCATCCTCAGCTCCTTCCCCCAGCAAGCCGTGGTGGGCTCGTCCGGAGCCCCCGCCTTTGGGGGCTCCCTGGGGCTGGGGGGCCTCTACGGGGCCGGGGCCACGCAGGGCTCGGGGGGCCTCTGCACCTTTGGCAGACCCTACGCTGCTCCCGCCTGCAGCCCTTGCGTCCTGCCCCGCTACACCAAGAAGCTCTGGGACACCTGTGGGCCCTGCTAGACACAGCCCAGACCCACGCGCTGCCCCCGCACCCCACGCCAACACCACCACCACCACCCCCCCGCAGGGCTGAGCTGGCGGGCGGGCGGCACTGAGCAGTGCTGAGCAGCCCCATCCATCGCCTGGGCAGTGGCAGTGCCGCACACCCGTGGCCCTTCCCTGCCCTCTTCTCCTGCCCTCTGCTCTCCTCCCCTGCCCTCTCCTCACGGCTCGTGCTGCCCAAAGGGGGCACGTGCATCCAGAAGCGATGCTGTGGAGAAGAGCCCTCTGCCTGCCCCAGCACGGGGCATGCAGCCTCTCTGGGTCTCGCCCACCATCTCTCTGACAATCTTTCCTGCCTCTTCGGGCTCAATAAATCTTTCCTGCAGCCAAGTCATGTGTTTTTGTGTCCTTGTTTTGAGTTCACTTCTTGATTTGACTACAGATGTCTCTTCAAGAAATTTGTGCATAGATATACATATGTATGATTAAGGATATATATTTGGGCCATAATATTCTTATGTTAGAAGGTGGTGTCTCAGCTACTGCTCATGCTCTTCTCGAAGTAGGAGTGATGCCGCCCTCTCACTCACCAAAACTTTTCACTTTTTAAAGACTGCTCTTGAATCACACTCAGGGATCTTGTAATTCTCTTGGGCGAAAAGCAAACACAGATCATCCTTTTCTTAGTTTCATTTATGATGACCCACCCCACAATATTGTTTTACCTTTTACTGTCATACATGTGCGATTAATTAACTTGAGATTGGTGCCACTTAAATTTCTTGGATTCACCTTGTCTTTTGTAGACATAGTGACACCTTGGCAGTAAAAGCAAAATTGGTTGTTCTCTTCCCCTTGGTTTTACTGGTTCTGCTTATATTACCACTACTTTCCGGTATTCTGTATCTACTATGTATTGACTCATGGGTATGCAGTCTCCCAATACCTTACCACCAGCTATTTGGTGCCACTCAGAGAATTTTTCCTCTTCTGTCACTTCTTCCTGATTATAGCCTGTGTTACACCAAATCTTTTCTCCGTAGTCAGCATGGCTTTGCCCTGTATTACCGAAGATCGTACCGTTACTGTTACTCCCATCAGTTAAGCCATCTCGTTTTTCCAGTCTTAAAGCCTGATTCCCTTCTGTTTAATGCCACTCAGCTTTATGTTATCAGCACACAAAACAGAGTGCTCCCAAATTATGTGCCAACGCCATTAATGCAAAGAAATAATTAGAGGTTTTCTGACTGATCCTTGAGTGACCAATGTAGTAAACTCCCTCCATTCCTATAACTCCCATATAACATTAGACGCTGACAGAAGTGGTATCTCTCCGCACTATTTTGCAATCAGACATGAGCTCACCCTGTACAGGCAGCCAGCCCAAATAGAAGCTTGGTAATCATGTTAGCTGGGTGATAATAGCTCTCAACAATCTTGTTATCTTGGGCTAGGCACTTGCTCTCTGACACAATACGCATCTAATTGGGTGCTGGCTGGTGCCTGCCTGGCACTGCCTCGTTGGGAGACTCAGTGGAAAAGTCAGCAGTCGGAGCTCAGGTGTTCTGCTGCGATTGCGTATGATTTGCACTGAAGCACCTCTCAGAGGCTGCACGTGAGATTAAGGATCCTGGTGTCGAGCAGCAGAGAAACAGAGAGGGAACCAGGCATCCGTGTTGTGTAAAGCTGTCCCAGAAACCGCCCTTGGCCAAACCAGTTGGGAGGATGGAAGGTTTTGCTCAGCACAGGAGGGGTACCTGAGCCAAGAGGCACAGGGCTGGTGTGGCACAAGCCAGAAGGTTGGTTGCTGAGCTCCTGGGAATTCAGCAGTGTCCTTACCTCAAGCTGTGTGAGGATGGGGAGCAGCAGCAGGGATGAAGAGCCGTTTCTTTGTGCCCAAAAAGGCAGGAGCCTTTCTTCTCCACCGCACCTGCTGGGGCTCTTCCCACAGCCCAGGCACTTGTGGGGCAGGAGCTGGGCTCTGCAAACTCCAGTTCCTTCCCAGAGCTTTCCCCAAAACCCCAGGACCATGAGGGCAGGCAATACTGGGACATGGAGGATGAAGAGGGCAGAGAGAGGACAACCTTTCAGTGAAAGGCTTTTTTTGGTCAAAATACTCTCAATGAGTATTTGTTAATCAGTAAAAATAAAATAGTATTTTCTTAAAATAAAGGCGAGATTCACGAGTACTATAGACTAATTTTCATTTCAACTTATTAGTGCTTGTAGCACACAGCCACCTGATATATCCAGTTACATTTGGCAGAGGGGGGTATTGAAATTGCCTGTTAAAATCAGATTTGTTGTTGCATGACACTGGCAGAGGGTTGAGACCAAGAAACTGTACCTTCATGCACGGGGCTTTTCTTTGCAAGAGTCTCAGCGAAGTAATAGGTAAATCCTCTGTAACACGTCAGTTGCTATTCTTTCCACTTCACCCAGCTGACTTAACAGAACTCAGCCAAAACTTCCCTGAGGCAATTGTTATCACAGCAGTGACTAACAAAAAAAGAAGAGGTAGTGCTTGATCTTTGCTCATCAGTTACCTATCTTAAAAATTGTTTCCCCATTGTCTACCTTCCACCTATTGTTCCTTTTCAGAATACGCTTTGACAGAACTTCAGGCCATGTTTTTTTGCTCTGTCATTGAACACAGTTTGATGATTTCTAGTACCTCATCGGGGAAGATGTAAAATTAGAAGGAATTTCAGAACAAAATTAACTAGTGAAAAAACATTGGACTAAGTACTGGAAGTCTGACACCTAGAAAAATTAGTGTTGGGGGGGCAACAATTTCAGCTCATAACAATGAAAGACTGGGAAGACAGGTTTCTTAGCAGGACTGTGCATGGCCAGGGCTGGGGGCTGTCCCCAAAGAGCTGGGGCTGAGAGATGGCCCTGGCCCGGCTGGCGGGGACCACGTGCAGGGCGAGGGAGCCGCGCAGCCCACGCTGGGCATGAGAGGACAAACGGAGAGGCAGGTGTGGGATGCAGGCTTGTTTTATTGCATTGGAGACAGACAGAGAAGGCAGAGGCAGGCAGGTTTTCCCCCACTGCATCTTG